CCACCATTTTGGCTTGTTAGTATAATCTGTGAGGAGGAGGAAGCGTATATGGTGTCAGGTCGTTTGATGGTATTTGTATTTCAGTTGTTGCAGGTATGTTGCACAGTTTTGTATTATAAGGTGTGGGTAGGGTATTTATAAAAGTAAGAAGAACTACCAAACACCAACTTTACGCTTATGTTTCAGTAATGGGGAAAACGGCGAAGGAAAAACACGGGAATGAGAGGCGCAGGTCTTATAACTATCCAAGAAATGCCCAAGCTCAGGCTCAGAACTCGGGTACTGAAAGTCGGAACTACAGTTATTCTTCCGGGAATGTACCAAGGTACAGTAAACTTTGCTAACATGTGCAACTGGTAAAATTTAATGTGGTCAAAAGTGGGTATATAGGAAAGTTGTTTGGCCTGTCCTCTCATAGCCTTTTGTGATGGTGTAGGTGTACTCACTTGTGCATAGTGTCATTGTATACAGGATTTAAATTAACTGAGTCTTTAACATTTAAATAGTATGTTACAAGTGACTGCATTTGCTCTGTATTGTTTCATGTTTTGTGTTTCTCTAATAAAATTGTAATTCTGCAGGCATATCCTATTTTCTGTTTACAAGGTTCACAGAAGTGTATTACATTATACATTGTGAATCACTTCGAGATCAGAATTCCTTCCTGCAATATCTTCAGATATCAAAGTTGGATGCAACAGAAGTTTAAAATCTGGTGCTAACTTGAAACTGTGATAATAAAGATATGATCCTTTCCCTTCCAGATTCATATGTATTGGCATTACTCAACATTTGGGAGCTTCCTAGTTTTATATAGGCAGGTGTACGATTATTCCTTGGTAATAATGTTATATATTTTCACACTCTGCACTACACGGTACTTTAAATTTTACTGTCACAAAGCTAACAGCTGGATTGAGTCATCATTTAAATGCCAAGAGTGAATTTATTTGCGTCTGTTCATCGTACTTTTAATCTGAGTCTCTCAACAATTGCAGACTATTAAGAATTTCTAAGTAATCCATCCAGTAGCTATTCTTTTTTGTTACCATTTGTTATTATTCTTTGGAAAACTGGAATATATATGCTTTTATAATGGCACAAATTTTTTAACTCACTATACCACAGGTTCAGAATGATGTAACCTTTGTGGTCATAAACCAGGTTGTCCCCCTCTACCAGCTGGCAGGTCTAACAAACTATGAACTGGTCAGTGTTCTGATACTTCATTTAATAATACAAGCATCTGTTTCTCTTCTTCATATTATGTGGTATTGCATTGATAAACACTCCTTGCTATTGAAACAGTCATATTACTGTCCTAACCCTTATGGATTTATAAGCGTGTCTGTGCCACTTTGGTTCTGACATCTTCATGACAAAAATTTAAAATTGTGATGTAAACAAGAAAACACTACTTTATTTCCTGTGGATTTTTTTTATCGCTGAAAAGATTTTGTTATCACAGTTGCAGAACTGCAGCTTAGCCATATATTTTCACTGAATGGAAGTACATACAGGAAGTGGATACAGGTCAGCACATAGGATTCCTTTTCTGTGATTTGTTTTAACCTGTATGAGGGTATGGTAAGATGTGCTTAATGGTTCTGTTTCTTTGGCTTAGTTGTCAGACTCTTGTTTGTGAAAACAGTAGGTGCACTGTAAAGGTAAGACTGGAATTATGATCACATCCTCTGCTATGTCTGGTCTAGCTAGTCTAATGATAACTTACATAAAACTTGTGCTACACTGAACTGAATAAGAATAACAGGAATCCAGAATCCTGTTCAAGGTTAGCTTTCATGGCTGTTTTACGTGTACCTTATTGATTAGGACTGACACAATTGGTGCTTTAACATAATAGCTGAATTTATACATTTGGAGCAAGTAAAGGGAAAAAATAAAAAATTATGATCAAATTGCATTTACAGACTGGATTCTTATTATTTTATATTGAAAATCTGGTTTTATATTCTGACAGTGGACCTTGGTTACAGACTTTAGTACTTTAACTTTTTTTCATGCGAAGAGCACTGCCACAAATTTATGTTCTATTTCCATCTGAAAAAAGTTAAATGAATGATTGATGGAGTTTTATATTTGCCTATATCCAATAAGATACTTAGTATTTTAAATTTAAAATATCATTCTTTAATTATATGAAATCCCTGTGGGATAGTTGATATTGTGAATTAAAAACAGGGAATTTAACAATGTGGTCTGGAACTGGTACCATAACAATTCAATACTAAATGGGAATAGTTCATTTAATTTAAATATGTTAAATCAGGGTTGTACTGAAAATACTCGTGACACATTTTACATATATTCCACATAAAAATATCAACTGAAGAAACATAATTATTTTTTTCTTAATTTCAGAATAGAGATATTTAACCATTTTGTCACTTAGTGGTTGTTGAAGGGAGATGCATAACTAATATAACTCCATCATAACACTTGTAAAATAATAGTTGTTAGTGTCAATTTCAGTAATTTGTTTCTTTTTTATGTAGGAGGCCTCCTGTATACAATTTGCAATATCAAGGAATACCAGCGCCTGTGCCAAACCATCCACATCATTTTGGGGTAAGGTGGTATTTTATTTATGTGTGTTGTGACATTAATACAGGTTGCTGGTGTCAAAGTGCTGCTCAGGAATTATGACATAAGGAAGTTTTGTTTCTAACAATTAAAGTTAAATACCTGTTAATATGAAACTATAAATCTGTTCAGTTCAGTTTGTATGTGTGTATATACACAAACAAACAAGCCCAGTTTTAAGTTAATATCAAATTATAAACCATTAACTTAAAACGGCTGGACAGAAACTAAGCACTTATGAATAAAATATTCACCCCTTCATAATAGTATTTTTTCCAGGTAAAAGCTTTTTTTATATTTTCCCTGAATATATAATAAATAGATAAGTAACTAATTTATAAGTATGACCCATGATAGTTCTGTCAGTAAAGTGACTGGCTGTAGACTACAGCTGGGGTTTCATTCCTAGCAGGGACATCTTTAACATCTGCAGTGTGTTTTGTTGATCCCTGTGAGTCACCTTTACACAATTATCAGTTTCATTCATTTTAAACTACATTCTTCTGCCCAATATGACCATCATCAGGTTCGAGTACACATTCAAAGTCATTGCACTGGGACAGTTTCTTATTCACACTCTCACTGTAGTTTCAGATAATGATAAAGTACAAGTACAAATATTTAAAACAGTCTAGAAGTTTGTCAGCACAACTTGCTGAGTCCAGATGTGTTTGTATTCTGTAAGCAGAAAGGTTTTATAGGATGTAAATGACCAAAAATAATACATATTATGTGTGTATTTGACTTCATTTCTTCTTTTTATCACTACATGATATGCCTACTCAGTCTACTATGTTTTATTGGGATTCATCTCTAGGTTGGACGAGGCTACATTGGGAGACATCGTGGAATTAATAAAGCACTGAAGCCCATCTTGGTTAGAAAGAGGACAGATCAGCGCAGTACACAAGTTTTCTCTCCTGTACGCAAATCTGCTCAGAAAATAATGCAATCACAAACACAGGTACAAGAATCTGTGCAAGAGAAATCTGAAGAGACAGTTTCACATAAAGAGAGATCTGCTGAATGTATTATAAAGAATGGCCTAGAAACTTGTAGCTCTCTTGAAGAAAACCCAAAAGAAGTATCAGTACTGAAGGTATGTTGCACTGTATATAGATATGTGAGAAATGTTTTCCCTGATCCACTCTTAATCCTTTCTTGGTCCTCAGTTGGAGTCTCTCTCATATTATGGGGCAGTTTGTTGCAGGGCTGTGGCGTCGGTACTACAATCTCCAACTCCTTCATAAAAGCTGAATATGTATTAATAAGGGTAAACCTACTAAAATGGTGAATGGCACCTTAAGACTACCATCACTACCACGTGAATCATCAGCCTACTTTTTAGACTTATAACATATATTTAAATATACATGTAATGGTTATTGCAGAAATTGGTTGATTTGTAGACAGTTTGTATTCTTAAGGTACCAGAGCCAAAGTTACAAAGTATTATTCCCACACCATGTGGCTCGACACATTGTTGAATCTCCCTAAGTGTGAGGCTGCCGGCGGCTCACATGGTATAGAAATTGTTCTTAAGATTTTATATCGTGGTCGGAGTCGGTACATTTTTACCGACTCCACCTAAAATTGCTTCCGACTCCACAGCGCTGGTTTCTTGTCAGTTGGTACAGTGAAACCTTGATGCATCGGTTTTGGCGGGGGTGGGAAATAAAAACGATGAATATGGAAAACGATAGTTGCGGGAAAGCATTAAAAATTTAAAAAAAACTGAATGTTTCTCTTTCAAAGTTACTTATTTTTACCAAAAAAGTGTTTAATGGACAACTGGTTTGTCAAAACTTTATGTTTTAGGCCAAACAGAGCCCTTTCCACGTTCAAAATGTTTTCCTCGTCACGTTCACTAATATTATGGGAATAAAAGAACGACTTCACTTTTGCCAATGCAGCATGTGCTTCAGCAAAACTTGGCACAGCTTCGGGCTCGCATTCGTCGTCTTCCTCTTCCTCACCGCTCCCACCCCTTCGCGATCTTCACACAACTCATCAATGGTGCCGACTCCGCATGTGGCAAGCTCGCTGTCTACTGCCGCGTAATCACAAAAATTTAATCATGTCTTTCTTCTTTGCAACTATTTAATTTAAAGTAGATGGTGCTGATCCAAGGCATTTAGCAATGTCGATTCTCTTTTCAAATGGATTCTTCTCCACTTCTATGATTTTTAATCTTTCTTTAAGAGTTCCAACTTGCTTTACTGGGCGAGACATGGTACAGGAATAATAACAAAATAATTAACAGGAATAACAAAATATTTACGGGAACAACAACAACAAAAATATAGACTGGAACAATAACAGGAAGAATGGAAATACTATTACTGCCAAACTCGACCAAACATAGCTGTAGAAGACACTGAACCACTGGAAAGGAGATGAACCAGAAGAATGAAAAGTGCAGCCTGCCTTTCCTTTGTACTTATAATAAAAGCATTTGTGAAGAAATTCACACTGCACATGCCATCTGGCATCCCTGGAATGAAATATGAGTGCACCCTAATTAAACTCATAAAATTTCTGACAATGAGCACTGCCATTCACTCCAACTATCACCCCTGCACTGCTGACCCCTCATTCTAAAAGAATCTGTGCTGGTTGGGTGACATAACAGGTTAGAGCTACTGTGTATTCCAAAAACATTGTGCGTCTTTCGGTATTAATTTATCTCAAAACCCAGCATTTTAAATTCTAAAAACATCGCGTAAATTTTGTTATAATTTCTCAGAAACGATCATTGCGGGAAAATTGTGGGCCAGGACCAAGATTTTTGAACGATTGATGCGATAAAACGATAGTTCAAGGAACGATAGAAGCGGGAAAATGTAATATTATTTTATATGGGATGCATCCGGGAAAACGATAGTTCGGGGAACGATGGATAGAGGTTTCACTGAATTAACTTTTTACATGTCTTGGGTACATACTGGACAGATAATTACATCACTATTTTCTGCTGAGAAGAAGAAGAAAATAATAGATATAGCATACTGTCACTTGTGCCCTTTTTGCTTAATAATTAAAAAGTCCCTGAAACTGCTAATTGCACAAGTTTAAACAGACCATGTCAGACACAAACATATGCTCAGGTGGCTGATGTGCAGCATTGGAAAGAATATATATTTGAGCATGTATAAGCAAAAAACTGGCTTCTGTGACGGGCAGATTTCATGTACTGGACATCAGAGTCCTCCATAGCAATCTATGTGCGAAGGCTATGTGCTAATGAGTTTTTTCTTTGCTTTTATTCATTGTAGATTGAGGATGGAAGTACAGAAGTTGGAGATAAGAACTCAGACTGTAATGATCCTGAAGGTGTGAATGAAAACAAACCAGCTACTGCTGAAGAAAATGCTGACAAAATACAGCCCAAGTTGAAATCTGTTACCATCAAGGATAAGAAAGTAAAGAAGAGTGCTACAGCCAAAGTATCTCCAAAAGGAAAACACAGCCCAAGGTCAAAGAAAGAATCAAAACCAGAAAATGAGGAAGAAGTTGAGGCCACAGACAAAGAGACAGAAAAGTTGCAGGATGAGAAAGTAGAATCAGAATTGAAGAGTCATGAGTCTGCATCATTACCTAATTTTCAGCCAAGTACCGAGATCACCCATCTGATCTCTCCGCTTCCAGAAACATCTGTGATGAATGACTGTGTGGTGGAGATTCCTCATCAGGATGAGGATAAATCAAATGAAAGCCCACCAACAAGTGCAGAGGAGAGCTCTTCCAAGTTGCTGGTTACTTACAGTGTTAAAGATTCACCACGAAGGAGCACACGGCTTGCCACACACCTGTCTTATCCAAAGCAGAGAAGTCCAGCCAAACCTGATTCAAGCAGTATTATTGTGTTAGACAGTGACAGTAGCATCTCTGTTTTGGAACTAAGCCAAAATTCCCAGGGAAAATCATTTGCTCAGTCCCTCCGAAGTATATCAGGGCGTCCATCATTGAGACCACTACCTGTTTACAATAGATCATTCAATAGGCAATCTACGATTGGCTCTGCATCTATCCACAGCAATCTTTCAAGTAGATCTGAGACTACAACAGGTAATGATTCTGAGAGTGACAGTCAAGAAACCAAGATTTTACGGCCAAGATCAGGTTTGTGGGGTTTATTCCACACATCCAGTCGAACCGCTCCATCTCAAGACTATGCAACTGATAATGAAGAATCAACAAATCGCTCACTTGCAGATGATAGTGGGAATGATTCAGAGATGACCGATCTTCCTGAGGCTCCGTCAAGCCTCAGCTTTGGTAAGCGGAAGAGTCGAGATGCAGGCTTAGTAGATGACTCGGAGCAAAATAACAAAAGAATTAAAAGTGAAGTAGGACAAAAAAACAATGCCAGTACATCTGCTGGATTGTTCTCCATTATGTCTTCACCTATGAATTTATTTGCCAACAAAATAAGAGGGGATAAGGGGAAGAGCAGTACTCCTCTTCACATGCTCAAGACTTCCATCATAGATGAAGAAACAAGAGATGATTTGTCTGTACATGAGGACGATGTTAGCGAGATTGAATATGAAGATGAAGATCCAAGTAACTTCAGTGGAAAAGAAAGTCTGCGAGATGTTTCACCAAGAATGGGTGAAGAACAAGAGATGGCTCCAAGGAGATGGTGTAGCATCATGTGAAAGAAACAAGGATTTGTGAAACTGCAACTGTTAGTGTAACCACAAAGTGTGGCATACCTTTGGTTGATCTGTTCTATCTTCACATTTAAGATAGCTGTGAGATCACCTGGAAATTACAGATTGTGAAAAAGAAATGTGCTGGCTTGGACATTTGTAATTGTCTCTAACTTTTTATAGTTCTTGTCATTTTATGGAGCAACTGAGTTTTAGAATAATTGGAAAGATTTAGTACAAGTATTTCTGACTCTTCAGTATACTGAGTTATAAATGTTGGTAGGAATGAGTAGAAATTGCCATATATTGAAATGTGTACAGGTTACTGGTAAGATTATTTGATCATGACATAAAGTTTTGTGGTGACAACTCTGCAACTGCAGAATCCCAGAAATGTTATCATTTGCAACCTACCTATTGAAGTGTTTCAGATGTTAGGTTTATAAGGCATAAACTTCTTTACTGTTGTATTTTTCTATGTATTTCAGAGCATGTATTTGTAAACATAGATGGTAGCAGTTAACCTTTGGTTCAAATGAGCTGTGTAACCCAGCATAAAGGACTGTGTATCATGAAGCAAAATGTGTCGATGGTAAATTTGTTGACAAGTGCTGATTACCGTTTGTTATATTTTTAGGATTTGTTGTAATAGATTTATGTGTTCTTGTATGTCATGGTTTTTAAGTTGGTAATACAACAGCTATAAGTAGTACATAAGGAATGATGTATTATGATTTACTTTTTTAATTAACTCTGTACTTTTGAGGATAATATTAAAATGGATCTTTGGTAAATTATCATAGTGTGAGAAAATGTGGACTAGATTAAACTGCCTCAGGATAGGGTCCAACACATTGATGATCCTTTGGATTCCATGAAACAGAATTTCTTGACCTGTGGAACTACAGTTAAGTATTCAAAGTATAACCCTGCACAATGGAGTTAGTTAAATAAGAAGTAACTGATTTTTAATTTTTTTTTTTGGAAAAACGAGTTTTAAAGCCCTTGTATCTGCATCTAAAAAAACAAAACTTAATGAAATGTCAGAATCTGTTTGGTATACGTAAAATGCGAAGATATGTTACTGAATTTTTCATACTCATTTGACTGCACATCCCTGTTAAAAGGCTGCAAGAGTTTCAGATACCATTAAGCAATTTTTAAAAAAGTCTGTATTAACAGTGTACCTTTATAGCCTTCTCCATTTTTACATGTTTTATGTATCTGATGTCAACCTTACAAGCATGGCACCTCTGTGAACATTTGGGGTGGGAGCAACATTGGGATTCTGAATGTTTTTATTGTAATTGTACTTTAGATTCAAACATTAATTGTAGGGGATAAACTACAGAGAATTGTTTTCAACCTATGATTTCTGATCTTAGAATAACCTGTAATGCACTGGCACTAATAGAATGTGGTTTTTGATACTTGTTACTCATTAATTTAAGTGTAGTAAAATTCTGATACAATTTTTTTTAGTCATGTAGTGTTTAGTTTCTGTAGTGAATTCCCCCATTACCTCAGTCTGAAATTCTTTCCATTTAAACTTTTTTCTGTTTTGTGTTAAAATCTAGTGTACCACATAGAAATTGTCAATTTGGATTTCATTAGAAATACATTTCTTCTTGGGAGAACAATTTTATTATACTGGTTTCTAGTTTTATAAATGCTATTTACTTGACTCCACAGTGGAATTTGTTTAAAACTTTATAGTAACTCAACTGGTAAAAAAATTCCCTGCTTTCATGGAACCTGAAGTTTTATTCCCATGTTAAAGTCCTGCCACTGACCCTTTTCCTGTGTCAGTTTGAGTCTGTTCCCTCACATCCTCTTTTGCTAAGACCCACATTAATATCACCCTTTATTATACAGGAGCAGGGGATTTAAACACTTGTATTTAGCAGTTAACAGTTTGATGAAAGATTCTCAGGCTACAAGCCATGTCAGGTGGCTGAATGGTGAATAAACCATATCCTCTGCCAAAGTTTCAGTTTGGTTACGCAGCTTCCCTGAGGATGATAACAGAGATGGCTTGAAATGGCAGAGGATATGGTTTATTCAAAATTCAGCCATCTGATGCAGCTTGTAGCCCAAGAGTCTTTCATCAACTTCAGTTGCTGGAAAACCTTCACTTTATACATCAGGTAACAGACTGCAACTGTTTCTAAATTTGTTTTCCCTCAAGGTATTCTAGATAAAGTGCTGTGTGCATTTCTCATTGCCCATACCTGCAATGTCCTGTCCATCTCATCCTGTGATTTAATCATCCTAATAGTATTTTTTAAGTACAAATTATGAAGCTCCTTAGTATGTAATCTTCTCCTATTACTTTCTCTCATGTTTAAATATTCTCCTCAGTACCCTTGGTCTGTGTTCTTCCCTACATTGAGAGACCACATTTCACATCCTTATAAAACTTGCTCTATGTTGACAGTAAATACCCCTTATAAGCAAAACAATACAGGATAAGTGATAAAACATGTAAGAAATAAATAGTGAAAGAAAACTAAAAGATACATGTTTTTCCACTCACCAAACTGAAACAGCAGTAGAAGAGTTCAAAAAGGAAAATAACAATACATAATGAAATATTGATCCCTGACCTCTCAAGGAAACATGCTGTAGCATTCTTCAGACTATACACTGGATAGGACTGCTTGGCTGTATATGTGCACACGTCATCCCATCTGTCCATCTTCACAATGTGCTCTGTGACAGCATCCAAATTATACAATGGACAATATAATGTACTTCATTGTCCAACCATACATAAATTCTATGCCAATTTCCAGTCTGCACTAGTAACTATTACCAGGATGCAAATAATCAAACAGCCTAAAGAGCTTGGACATTTGCAATAGCAACAGAGGCTGACAGAGTAACAGTGACATTTTTAGCCTTGAGATCCAGTGGCTATGAAAATTGTTTTCAATGAATCAAAAGTGTTGGTATGATAAGTAATGAAAAGGTATATTAAATTCAGCAAATTATTATCACAACTAACATATTCAGAAACAACTATACAGTACATGCAACATGCAAAGTCACACAGAGTACTTGTAAATTTAAGAATGGTATGCAGCAGTACAAGTTTGGTTTGTGCATCTGAGTTTGGTAATATGTTACTGACACCTAAAATTGTTGTTACATTTTGTTTAATTGTGTCCCTTGTGACAATGATGTGGCACATCATCATACATTAGCTGAGTAGGTGAACTCAAGATAAGATAAGATGGATTTAACAGAAAACACACTGAATAAGCAGTTTTAGGTAGCATTCAAGTAACTACTGTGCTTTAGGGTTGGTCTACATCCATAACCTTCCAAACTAGCATCACAGTTGGACATTTCTTGTGGAAATCCTTTGGGGAAATTTGTGCATAGATGGGAATATAATATTAAAATTAATAACATTGTGCAAAGATGTGAACAAAATTTACATAGCTCAGGGTATGGTCCAGTAACTGGCTTTTATGATTACAGTGATGAACCTTTGGGTTCCCCAATGGGAATTCCATGACAGGCTGAATGAATTCCACATGACCCACAACCACAATTGTATATGAAGAGTTTAAATGACACATGTCCTTGGGTCTTAGAAATTACAATATAAATCTTTGTTTGAAACTTTACATGACCTATCATTCTGCAGTGTCATTGCTTATAAATGTTTGCATATGCATGCCTCAGAATTCATGTAGGTAATTTCTGTTAACCCAATGGCATACTTCATGCTCTTGAGATGTCTCCTGATTTGGGAGCCATACGATACTCTGGCAGTAGCAGAATATTTGAGTTTGTTAATGTATTAAATTTACACACAGTGCGAATAGTTACGATCCTGGGCAAAGTTCAAAAGCCAGTTGCCGTTTCCCGAAAACTCAATGTTAACATTTCGGGGAGGTTTACGTTCCCGAACGACCGAAAAATGGCGGAAAAAAAAATATCGACAACTTCACAGCCTGAAAAAAACCATACTAGGAACGGAAACATGTTAGATTACTACAAATACTATAAAAAAGTCTTCTTACCACAAACACGTCCTTTAAGCACCAATGGCAAACAACGTTTCACTGTCTAAGAGCGACGTTACGACCTTCGTGCTTTTCGTAGCACGTGTTCTAATTTGTTCGGAACATTTCGGATAAACGAGTTCGCCTTCGGATGAGGCGCCACAGCCAAGTGAAAGGTATTACATGCAGTATAAAAGTTAATATAAACGAAATTTCGTAATGCTTGAAGTGATAGTGTATGGATATTTTCTGCAGTCTAGATGTTATGCCAATGTTAATTACTGTCATACGCACTATTTTTCGTTATTATTTTATTCACGTAATAAATGTATTTATTTTTCATGATGGCACTGCCCATTCGTTGTAAGTAACCATGGGCTAAACATCAGGAAATTATTTTCTGGAAGATCCCCCCCCCCTCCACGCAATTAGGTTCAAAAACATTCCAACATTGTAGTCTGTGCAAAAGGAGAATGATACAGAATGGAATGCAGAATAAAATATTCTTGGTAGGATTTGAGGTTCTCATAGCAGGGAGTATGAAGTTGGCTGCCTTCTGGACTGTAGCATTGTGTGATGTGGTAGAAGTTTACCGACATTTCAGAGGCACCTTACATGTCATGACCTATTCAATGGCATCTATAGGGTGGATGGGAATTCAGTAGGCATTGAGAAATGGTTATAACCTCTATATTTCCAATGTATAGCAATTATTTAATGCCTACTTACTTCCCACCCACTCTGTAGAACAGGGAAATTGTTTGCATTGGCACTGTTAAGAATAACAGAAATAATACCCCTAATTTTGGTCCCAGGGCCCTCAAAATTAAGAAAGGGTATATTGTGAGTGCAGTTCATGGCAACTTCACACCAGTGTATTAGTAATACAGCATTCATCTATGTGCAGCTGAAAGGAATTTTTGGGATCAATAGGGAGTACTCTGAAATCCAAAGTAGTTCAAAACTATGATAAACACACATAGGCAATGTCAATAAACGTGACAGGATGGCTAAGAGTTATGGTAATAAGTCAAAAGTAAGAAACCAAAATGAAATCAGAAGCAGTTCCACTCCTCATGTAGTAGACTCTCTGAACCTCCTCCATGACACTTGAGTGAAGGCCACCCTTGTTGCTAGGCAACTGTTTATGCCAGTTATGGAAAAGTTGTGCAGGTGCAAACATGGTGTATTAATGAGCATGTCATATGTTTGTTCTTGAACATTACTTTGCATCAGAATTGTTTACTGCTGTTTGTGAAGCATTTAGTGATGCATGTGCTGCAACGACTTACCAAATAAGATGATAACATACTGAACAGAAACAATTTTGTGACAAGCTATGTTTATCAGATGGAGAAGAAACGTTTACATGAAACATTCACATTTCCAACCAGATACATTAATAAAATTACAATATTTTCAAAGTATGAAGTTAACAATAGCAGACAATATAATTAGGTATAATATTCCTTTCAGTTTCTAATAATTTTGCTAAGCTATAACCTGAGGAAGAGTTTCAAGTGGTAAAGGTATCTTTTCTGAATAATGTGTTTTATTTCATTGTTGTAAGTAGATTCTTATGAAAAATAAATCATTTCATCAAAACATATTAACAGCTTAGCATAACAGTAGAATTTAATTTGGGCCAGCAGAAAATGTAGTGACTGAACAGCCTGATACTCTGAAAGTTAAGAAATTTTGGAAAAGCTCAACAAAATATATCACTAGCCAGCCTATTTTGAGATAACAGTCAACAATGAATTAAAGGTATATGATTTGAAGCTTCCGTGGCAACATAACTCAATAAAATCTTCTTGGACGATCAGGGTTCTGATGATGGGGACAGAGATGATCCCTGAAATATCAGTTTCTTCATTTAACCAGTTGACATGACTGATCATTTGAGAAGATTTTATTGAATGAATTAAGAGGGTTGGAACAAGCCTGTAGCTTAACCTTGAATGAATGAATGAATGAAAACAACATGATTTTGTATGCAGATTATTTGGTGTGATACGCATTAATACTGTTTCATATCTAGTCCTTCAATCTTACAATTGTGTTATGAAGCATTAAAGGTTCAAATTTAATTTTTAGTAATGAACACTTTTTAACTATTAATGTCTGTACATCCATAAGCATAAAAATTACTGAAACTATATACATTACAATTATCTTTCTGCAGAAGTTTCTTGTGGACACATGAAGCGTAGGGTGTTCTGGACAGTGCAAGCCATATGGGCATGGGCATTGTCATGCAACGTGATGTTACCCCTTGTGGCATTGATGGCGATGTCAGGGTCATTGAACACCAACATCAGTGGTTGTATATTAATGCAAAGAAAAACAGTCCTGATTCTGCACCTCGAATGCTGGCATTGAACTACATCACATTGGTCTCATTTGCTGTAACATACCTGCTCTATTGCAGATGCTGGTATGTCATGCACACAACCATATGATCACAAAGTGATTGGCTGTATTTGCTAGAAGGCTGTGATCATTTTTTCATTTGAACCCTCTTATATCAGTTGTCTTGTGAAATGTAAGAATTTATGTTGTTAATTATATCAAACATAATTAATGATTTTTGAATTCATAATGTTTTAAAGGTTTCCCCTACATCTTAGTTTATTAGAATTACCTAATTCTGTTCTTCTTCATTCAGTTTGTTCAGTTTTAATTTCTATATTTAGTACACTATTCTTATAAAAAGTTCTCCACAATTGAATTTCAGGCAGATTTATAGTTGACCCCAATGTGGTGGCATTTTTCAGGCCTTGGGGTTCTAACCTGGCACTTATTTTAAAAAAGTGATGTCAAAAATAGATGGCATAGGCTAAGGGCAATGCATGTGAGTCCTACCAAAATATAAAATACAAAATACACTTTTCTAGAAACTAAGTAGCAGAAAAGTCAGACAACCTAATTTCTTATGGCTTCTTTAATTTCCTTTCTCTGTATCTGAGGCAGAAGCATCAGCCAAAGTGTCTGCATTTCATGAGCTACTTGTCATTCACTTCTGCATTTAAAAGTGCAGAGTTATAATTAAGTTACAATGATTATGGTTTCATATTATGTTTCATGCTCATTTCATTGGATCTGTAACTGCAAGCCAGATAGGTCTTTAATTTCCTGTCATGTGTTTCATTCCTTTTCCTTAACTTAATTCAAAAATACTGATTAGAAAGAACAAAATTAATTACATTTTATGGGCATGCTTTTAGCAGGAGTATTAGCTGTGGGATTAAAACATCAGAATTACAAAGTAGTTAACATGTTTGTCTGCAATAGTATTGTCTCTAATTAGCAGATATAAATTGATAATGACTGAGTGGATGTATGACCACCTAATATTCTGTTTTTCCTTGATCTTGTTCCTTGGACTGTTGTAAAAGCGAAAAATTGCTGAGTTTGGGGATTGAATAGGATGATACCCTCTCAAATACTTTGTACACATGCTACTCTCATCTTTTCTCTAAACAGAATTAAGAAGCTAGAGTTGTTACATAAATACCTGTATGTTCAGTTAACATCACAGACACAATACAGAAGTTTAAGAAAATTAGACTGTCTGAAAAAAAAGATAATTTTATTAAACAACTGAGGGAAATCCATTTACATATTAAGTCTACTAAGGACCAATAGCAATAATTCTCACCATCTCAAAGGTAAAAGCCGCCACTCTCATAGTATAACTTTGAACTGGACAAAACAACCAAAAACTACACAACAATTCATGAAATTGAAAGCAATGTATACAGCGATTCTACTTGTTCATTTGTTAAATATAATATATATAATTTTAAAACACGATGTAAATTTATAAATGCTCATATGATAAATGTATTCAGTTTCTGAAATTTAACTTTAGTTTTCAGTAACTTGAACATATAATAAAGACAAAGTATATTATAAACTGTACATTTAAAATTTCTTTGCTATTGAAGTAATTTTTAAACACACAGTATACAGAAGGGATTACATACTCAAACATTAAGTACAAAATTGTATTATAAGCATATAATTATATATAATTTAAGGAGAAAGAAAAATTAAGAAAATGGTCTCAAGTTGATGTGCTGTGCACATTTATAAAAAAATACCAGACTTGTAGTCATAGTTCTTTAAAAGTATAGACTATTATATAAATTATTAACTGTTATATAAATTATATGAAACTAAGTTCTCATAGTGTCTAAATGAGCTGTGTCAATAAGGCATAAAACTGTGATGTCTTAGAGGAACAGAATTTGTCACTCATCACATCACTTGCTTAAAGGGATAGAGACAGTCTTCAAAATACCAGTCTTAGTCTGTATTGACATTGCTCACCACCTTAGAAGACATTTTGTATAAATTGTAATATCCCTATTGATTTAATAAAACAATATAACACATTAAAATTTAAATTATTACCAACATAAACAGTACATGCTAAGAAAAATTATAATCTTCATTTTTCAGAAACATTCCCGAGATATATGCATTAGCTTCATACAAGTATGATGTGATATATCTATTAATATTCTTCTTCTTTCTCCATTTATAATATTAATTACAATTACTTCAATGATGAATGAATCTTTAATGTAACATGACATAATGATACTTATTATTAAGGCTTTGAATTATTGTCTTACGTTGTTTGAGAATGAGCAAATGAATGAATAAACTTGTCCACCCACAATATTTTGTAATGATGCTTTCTTTCATCTGTTTGGATATAAATAAAAGCAACTGCTTTGCATCAACTGTGTAAGGTGACAAATTATTACACTTACATCCATACAGCTTCAAAAATATTAATTAAACCACATATTTATATTTTGTTGCCCTAATTACTTCATATATCACTAAGACTAAGATTATATGTATGTACATTCTCAAATTGAAATCTTTATCAAACTAAAATGCTTTTAAGCAATTTGTAATTAACTGTATTCTTATTTTTATGTTACCTGTAACAGCCTGAAAAGTTTATCAAATATGAAGTTAGATACTTTCATCAAATCACTCTAATGTGGCAGTTTTACTACAGAACGTTATTTCCTAATAGCTCTTTAGAAATGTTTTGGTACAGACAATAATGAACTCAATGCATTTTATTTACTTACAAAGTTCAGTTCTGAGAGACTCAGAAATAGTTTTGCATTCATTTCAACCTTTCCACTTTGTGTCCAATAATCAGAACTGATGTCACATGTATCCGGAGATGTAATCTAAGTTATAAGATGGTTTGTTTGGTTTTTCAAGGGGGACAGAGGTGTCATTCCCAGTGTCTGTAGATTAGAAACCTCAACTTTTTGATGTTCATTTACCTTAACAAGTAACATCTCATCAGATTCTAATTTATTTTGTTTGAATTTTAAAATTGTCAAATTCAGGATAGGACTAGCAGTTCATTTCCTGCGGCTAATGTGCCCATAGCTTGAAACTGACCAGTCACCTCCATCTGTTATCAAAGTTACGAATGCATGGAGTTTTATCTCTGTTCTCCCATATAAGTATGGTATTTAGGCACAGGGACAACTTCATCCTTTACTATTAAATTTCAGATTTGAGGGAAAGGAAGGATATGCAGTACTATGCTCACAGAAACTATGTAGTTTCAAACTCAAAATCTCTGGCATAGTTGTCCCCATGACTTACTGAATGTTGAACTGCGTCTTATAGAGGACCTGAAAGTGTTACATTAGCACATACAGACATTGATTATACCTACACCATCGATAGGCAACTTACATGACATATTGTGTTTCAAGTATCTTATAAATTACTGGTTTCATGGAATTTTAGTGCATTCTACTAGCAACAATACCCTATTTTGGTTAATAAAAACACCTAACCTTTTCTCTGAACAGATATTAAGTTACTAAAAAGAACTAACACTGCTGACCTTTATTGTATGGGAACAGGTGTTTAAGATATAGCAGTGTGCAACTGCAATGACACATTGTCAACAAAGGTTAAAAGGTTAATGTTATTTTACACTTCTGTGCACATACTTCCACTTGGTACAAGAGTTACTGTCAATACACACATGCAGTATCACAATATGATTCTGTTTCAATAATTAAATTGTTTTCATCAGGTGTTATAAAATTGTGTACACAACAAAGAATGTTCATTCATTGTGTTTGTTCAATTTACTACTTCCACTGCACCAAGTTACTGCAGCTTAAGTTACAAAAATAAATAAGGGAAAAATAAGTGAAGATCAAAGTGGTTTTCATGCTGTTCTGATAACTTGTACACCTTGTAACATATTAATGAAAAGAGAAATCCAGTAAATCAGAACACCCATTTGCTTTTATAGATTTTGAAAAAGTTTATGACCCCATAGCAAGGTGAAATTTATGGGAGGCTATAGGAAAATTAAAGATAAATCTAGAGATAACTGAGTTAATTAAAGAAATAAGATATCTAATGCTACTACCATGCAAAAGATTTGGATAGGAGCTTAGCTTGTAGGCTCCACTGTAAAACATTTACATGCAGTGTTTGAATGGATTGAGGAATGGGTGCCCACATAGATGAAAATTTCCTTTTTATACTAATATTTCAAGGTTACCAGATCGTTATTGCATAAGACAGAGTTTAGCATTAGAATTTATCTTCAAATTCCTACCTAAGATTTATAACAATTAAAACTACCAAGACAGAGTATTCCTTAAAATATTAAACATTTCTGGTTGGTTCTTACACTGACTAATTTACCCACTGTATAATAAATTAAATTCCTCATAAATCACTTCAATTTTAAAATGGCCCTTGTTCCCTGTGTGTATCTGCAGTAAGACATTATCAGAGGAAAGAAATCTATCCTGTTGTCTCTTAACAATTTAAAGGTACTTTCAGCATCACTAAACTACAATTTGTGAGATACCAAAGACAAGTGAAACAAAGGAATATTTTGCTAAGAAAACTCAGCAAGGAAAGGGATATAACAACCCAGGCCTACAAGTCTTGAATAGAGGTCCTTTGGTATGTGTTTGGTCTTTCAGCATGTGCCCAAGTTAAGTTCATTATTGTGTCATGATAGGTTAATGTTTATCTTAAATTTCCAACTGACTTTTGATTTCATTTTCCTGAAATGTGGAAGTTAGGCTATTTCTCAAGTTGCAGAGAACAAGACCCTTAATCAAACAAACATACTTATAATGCTGATCAGGGCAAATGAAAGAAGAATTAAATATATCTTAAAATCATTTGTGAATGTTGGTAATACTTTAGTATACAACTTTGCGAAATAATAATTATGCAAAAAGTTAAAATTCTTATTCACTCTTATACATTACTCTATATTAACTAACACAAAACTCTGAGAAAACTAATCTTATCCAGAGACATCAGATATGTTCTTAGTGTAAGGGAATAAATTACAAAGCATAGCACAACACTGTCATGTGTAAGTGGAGAAAATATCAGGAGGACTGTTCCCTGCCCCCCTTCTCCTCCTTTTATGTCCATAACCTCATTCTACTTACCAAACGGTACAGTCAAGTGGTTATAACTCCTCCTTCATATTCAGAATGTTCCAGGTTTAAATCTTAGCATGGAAGTTGGTTATCCTGACTGAGGTTT